TTAAATGACCTATAAGTAAGTTATAACATCTATACCTAATACTATTTAATCGATTCTCATTACAGCCATGTGATTCCTCCCTAGTGATGTGCACTAGCATCACCACAAAATTTTCACGTTCAAGTGATATGCGATAAAATTATTTAAAGTTTATTTATGTAGGATTAATATTGTAAAATTTCTCGAGAAATTTTTTTTTGTTAGAGCGCAAAAGGTAATTTCTTATGTTAATTTTCGGAAAACAAGCAATTTTTTCTAATTTCCTCAAAAACGAAAATTTCCTTATCGTGTTACATTACATCAAATTATGGAATCCCGTGTGTAATGTAGGGTTGCGTTTCGTAAATTACAATTTTCATTACATGTAATTTTACGTAAATTTCAGAAATTCAAATTCATGCAATTTCCATACGTCATACATAAAGCACCAGATTTGCAAAAGTTTCGGCCAGTATTATTGCATCATTTGATTTGAATGTACGATTCGAATTGTAACTCCTAAATTGCCGAAATTTTAAAAATATGATCTCAAAACTAAATGTCATATGCTCACAATTACAATTACATGAAATTTCAATTTACTGAATCTTACGCAAAATTACGTAAAATTACACAAAATTACTGAAATTTTACATATCTAATGTGATGCACGACTGGCCCGCGTTAACAGATTATTCTGGGTAGTCTTACTGTTCTGAAAAATTCCGAAAAAATTCGGGATATCTATCCCGCGTGGATCACACGCGGAAAATCCGTGATTTACTCATCATTAAATCATTATTTCTTTTTGTGTATTAACTATGAACCAGAAAGCGGTATAAATCTGGATCTCGCTCCAGCCTTATTATGTATGTCGTAGATCAAATTTTTCAGGGGCATTACACTCAGAAAATATCATACTAAATTTTTGAAAAATGTTCGAAAACGTAGAAGGAGTCTGTCAGACAATAAAAAATTTCTTAAGAAATTTTGCTATAAACTACTCTTTGCCTCTATTTCAAGCCCATTCTTACTCTAACCTTAGAATTTTTTTTTTTTTTTTGAATTTACCTTGTTGTACAAAGTGCGTATGAACCTTAGAATTTAACTTTTCGTTCTATACAAATTATGGTGATATACATTACATGGATTTGCAAAGAAATATTCCGTGTTTAAACATTCCGCATGCAATTATAAATTTTCTTAATATTTATATAAATTTTATTAAATATTTAGAAGAATACTAAAACACACCAATGGTATTCAATAACATGTATATTTTTGCATCACGGAGAATTTATGAAATTTCGGATAAAAAATCTGATCATCAAATCTGGGTATTTGGTCCCAATTTTAATGTTAAAAGGATCCCTGACCTTGATCGATAACGCGCCTAACTCATCTTCCCCACCTTTGACGTTCATATTAAACATGGAAATTATTAGAATGACGCACCCTCACTCGGGGATAGTAGTTATTTCAGCCAAAAATTATTATTGGTTTATTTGTGGTTAAAATTTTCAAAATTTTAGGTATTTTGTAAATTCGCCGCAATGATATATATATAGATACAGATATTAAAAGTTTAACTTTTGATTAACATAAGGTTTTTTGGTATTCAATATAGCTTTAATATAGCAATTGTGATGTTAAACCATCATAGTAAACACGTAATTCTATATAGAAATATATGGGTTATGTACTACAAAACTAAATTTTTTGAAAATCAATTTTATTATATAAATTAATTTAGAATAAGGATCATTTTTCATTTAAAACACAAACGAAGTTGTATCAATAAAATTTTGCAGTAATAGCTCTTTAAAATTTATAATTTCTTATAAAATTTATAATATAAAAAATTGAAATAACTATAAATTTACTTTGGATTTATAGAATTTTAATATCTTTAAGTAAAAATTTAACATAACTTTACGTAAAAATTTTACATAACTTTACGTAAAAATTTACATAACTTTACTTAAAAATTTTGGTGATGAAATACTTTCTCCAGGCTTCATTGGGTGTAGAGATTGGAACCGGTTTTAAATAATTCGGGTTTATCACATGATCTTGTGATATTTTAGAAATCAATCTAATTAAATTTTAATAAATTCTAAAATATCACAAAATTCATGCGATAAATCAGAATTATGTTGTAAGTAGAAACAGAATTTAAGTGCGTTCGGAATTTTTATATAAAACCAGCATTTTGAGGTTGATTTTATCATATGAGCACACTTACCCTAACTCTAGTTTAACTAGGAAATTCCAAATCCATTTAAATTCCATTTCCACTTAGAGTTGACGTTTTATTTTTCTGAAGAAAAAAAATCTTGGAATTGTTGAAGTTTTTTTTTTTTTTTTTGACGATTAATCATTTTCATTTTGCATTTCGAACATAACAATTCTAAATGGTAATAATGATAAAATCGTTTGCTCAAGCATCAATATTTAATTTATCGTACTACTTGAGCATCATCACGATCATAAGCTAATCATATTGAGGAAGATACGTGAGTATATTTTAATTATATTTTTCAATCGTACTATTGGACTTCAACGATGTACAATTGTGCACTATCACAATCACTAACTAATCACATCGGATGTACTGCTTGAGAACATCCATTACCCTAAATAGTAACATGTAAAAGTCATGATTGCCTTCGTTTCAAGCTATGAGATATTTTTCTTCTGTGACTAACCTAGCTATTTATGAGTTCTTTTTATAATTATCATATATGATTGATTCCTTTTAAAGTTACAAACCATCGAGTTTAAGATTAATAAAATAATGCGTATTTTCAAACTATAACTATTCTTCTATAACTTTTCACAATGAGCCATCATTCGCAAATTAATGAAAAAGAGAATACATCTGAAAGAGAGTTTATCGATCCTGTCGAAGATGAAGAAGAATCAGCTAATAGAAGACTCTATATGCACAATATTTATGAAGAAGTATTTGGTGGCAAAGTAGGTGCACCAGTTCAAGAAAATTTGCAAAATGGTGCCAAAGCGCTAGAATTATGGTAAATTTTTTATTCTTGTTATTCAATAATACTTTTATAAAACTTGGTAATTTAATTTATTTAAATTTTCGTAAAAAAAAAAGCTGCGAGGATGGAATTTGGATTACAGAGGTATTAAGCATACTATCATTTAGTGAATGTCGGAATTTTTTTTTTTTTATACTTAATTTCTAGAACTACATTAGGTTGCCGATGAATATCCAAATACAGAATTTTATGGAGTTGATTCTAATATACAAAATTCTGACAATAATTTTAATAACATTACATTTATTGAATGTAATATTTTTAAAAAACTACCATTCCCCGATAATGAATTTGATTATATTTTTGCTAAAGATAAACTTTTATATATGGAAAAAACTACATTTCTAAAAGTTTTATCAGAGATCCTTAGAGTATTAAAGCCTGGAGGTTGGTTAGAGGTAAGAAAAAGAATTTAACTTTATAATTTCTTATTGACAGATTTTAACGTTATTTATATTAGATTGTATGTACGTTTAATACGGAACTTGTTTATGGACCAGCATATACACGATTGAGAAACACATGTATGTTTATCGTGCATTTATTCTAAAAAAAATATTTGCAGTGAGACCCTTTAAATGCAATTATTAATGACAGACATTAATAACTTTGAAATCTAATGAACAAAAGAAAAAAATTGCGTTTATTTTTAATTATTTATTTAAGCCAGAATTTGGAGCATTAAGAGAAATTGTATTTAAGAGGCCTCACCGTATTTTGAAATATTTCTTAACCTATTAGTAATTATTTAGGGGAATCGTGGCTCAAAGTACAAAATATTGATAAAGATTTAAGTTTGAACCTTGAAAATTACCTTAAACAGACCGGAAAAACTGGAACACCATTGTGTCGAACAAAAGATTCTCAGGTTGGATGTGGAAATGCTTTTGGAGAGTTTCTTGTTGAATTTATTTTATTTTTCTATAGAACTGCGAGGGATTATTTAGCTGCTTTTATGAATATTTCACTTGAAGAATTTGATGACTTGGTGAATAAGGCCGAAAATGAATTAAGTAAAGAAAACAGAACAACAATAAGACATAAACAAGTACTTGCAAGAAAGAAGAGTATGCATTCTGAAGAAATTGAAGCAGCACGTACTATGTCTAGTACTAAATAATACTGCAGCGTTTTGACTTTCTAAAAGATACAGTATTTTATTTGTGGCTAGAAATTTTATAAAGAATTCGTGAATTTAATTAAATTATGTTGGTACTTATTTGTAGAACTGAACCATATAATTTAAGCTTAAATTTAATATTATTAGCTAGCCACATTGCCATTATGCGTAACAAATACTTTTTTTTCTCTTTTATAATAATATTTCATTTATTTCGTATACCCAAATTTCTTTCTCGTATAAATAAAAATACAAAATGCAAAATTTTACATATAATTGGTGATACTTTATTTCTATATCTCTCAAACTGACATCCTAATATCAAATTTCTGTATTCGGTTTTCAATTGATGCTTAACAATTAATGTTAAGATTAGTTATCTTTATAGGTTAAATTTTAAGAGTACTATATACGCAAGGATCGGTTTAAACACTCGTTTCTTGTGTTTTTATCATTTTTTATTTGACCTGAACTTTAGATGTATTCTCAATCATTCGGGTTTCTCGTTGCGTAGTCTGATGGTAAATTTTTTTTTTTTTGGGGGGGTACAATCACTACTCTAAATATATCAAACTCTACCTTTGATTAACATTAGCCTGGGATAATGGTTTAATTTATAGATTAGGGATCGCCAATTGTAGTAATATGGTAACAGGTATGATTGCCTTGGTTTCAGACTATGAGGCATTTTCTTTCATGAGTAACCTAGCTATATATGGTGCTCTTTTTAGAATTATCACATATAATTGATTCTTGTTAAAGTTAAATTCATCGACATTAAGAATAAATAAAATGATGAGAATTTTCAATTTGTAAATATTCTTTTAAAACTTTTCACAATGAGCCATCATTCGCAAATTAATGAAAATGAGAGTACATCTGAAAGAGAGTTTATCAGACCTGTCGAAGATGAAGAAGAATCAGCTAATATAAGATTATATATGCACAATATTTATGAGGAAGTATTTGGTGGTAAAGTAGGCGCACCAGTTCAAGAAAATTTGCAAAATGGTGCCAAAGTGCTAGAATTATGGTAAATTGTATATTCTTATTCAATAATACTTATATAAAACCTAGTAATTCAATTTATTTAAATTTTGTAAAAAAAAAAAAAGCTGTGAGGATGGAATTTGGATTACAGAGGTATTAAGCATACTATCATTTAGTGAATATTGGTAATTTTTTTTTATAATTAATTTCTAGAACTAAATTAGGTTGCTGCTGAATATCCGAATACAGAATTTTATGGAGTTGATTCTAATATACAAAATTCTGACAATAATTTTAATAATGTTACATTTATTGAATGTAATATTTTTAAAAAACTACCATTCCCCGATAATGAATTTGATTATATTTTTGCTAAAGATAAAATTTTATATATGGAAAAAAATACATTTCTAAAAGTTTTATCAGAAATCCTTAGAGTATTAAAGCCTGGAGGTTGGTTAGAGGTGAGAAAAAGAGTTTACCTTTATAATTTCTTATTGACGGATTTTAACGTTATTGATGTTAGATTTTATGTTCGTTTAATACGGAACACGTTTATGGACCAGCATATACGCGATTGAGAAACACATGTATGTTTATCGCGCATTTATTATAAAAAAATATATTTGCGTGAGACTCTTTAAATGCAGTTAGTAGTAAATTTAATAAACTAAAGAAAAAATTTGCGTTTATGGTTAATTATTTATTTAAGTCATAATTTGGTGCTGCATTTAGAAAGATGCAGCATTAAGAGAAATTGTAATTTAAGAGGCCTCACCGTATTTTGAAATATTTCTTAACTTATTAATAATTATTTAGGGGAATCGTGGCTCGAGGTACAAAATATTGATAAAGATTTAAGTTTGAACCTTGAAAATTATCTTAAACAGACCGGAAAAACTGGAACACCATTGTGTCGAACAAAAGATTCTCAGGTTGGGTGTGGAAATGCTTTTGGAGAGTTTCTTGTTGAATTTCTTTTATTTTTCTATAGAACTGCAAGGGATTATTTAGCTGCTTTTATGAATATTTCACTTGAAGAATTTGATGACTTAGTGAATAAGGCCGAAAATGAATTAAGTAAAGAAAGCAGAACAACAATGAGACATAAACAAGTACTTGCAAGAAAGATGAGTATGCATTCGGAAGAAATTGAAGCAGCACGTACCATGTCTAGTGCTAAATAATACTGCAGCGTTTTGACTTTCTAAAAGATACAGTATTTTATTCGTGGCTAGAAATTTTATAAAGCATTCGTGATTTTAATTAAATTATGTTGGTACTTATTTGTAGAACTGAACCATATAATTTAAGCTTAAATTTAATATTATTAGCTAGCCACAGTGCCATTATGCGTAACAAATACCTTTTTTTTCTCTTTTATCATAATATTTCATGCATTTCGTATACCCCAATTTCTTTATCGTATAAATAAAAATACAAAATGCAAAATTTTACATGTAATAGGTGACACTTTATTTCTATATCTCTTAAGCTGACATTCTAATATTAAATTTCTGTATTCGTATTTGGGTTTCAATTGCTGCTTAAAACTGGGTACATTCCAAAATTACAATTAGTGTTAAGATTAGAGATCTTTATAGGTTAAATTATAAGAGTACTATATACGTAAGGATCGGTTTAAACACTCGTTTCTTGTGTTTTTCTCATTATTATTTATTTTTTTTTTTGACCTGAACTTTAGATGTATTCTTGATCATCTGGGTTTCTCGTTGCGTAGTCTGATGGTAGATTTATTTTTTTTTTTCGGGTACAATCATTACTCTAAATATATCAAGTTCTACCTTTGATTAACATTAGTCTGGGATAATGGTTTAATAAGTAATTATTTATAGATTAAGGATCGCTAATCGTTTCAGTCCAGCCTAAATAGTAGTAATATGGTAACAGGCATGATTGCTTATGTTTCAGACTATGAGACATTTTTCTTCCATGAGTAACCTAGCTATATATGGTGCACATTCTAGAATTATCACATATAATTGATTCTTTTTAAAGTTAAGTTCACTGACTTTAAGAATAAATAAAATGGTGAGAATTTTTAATTTGTAAATGTTCTTTTAAACCTTTTCACAATGAGCCATCATTTACAAATTAAAGAACATGAGAGTACATCAAAAGAGTTTATTTTTCCTGTTGAAGATGAAGAAGAATTAAACACTACTATACTCTATATGCACAATATTTACAAACTTATATTTAACGGCAAAGTAGGCGCACCAGTTCAAGAAAATTTGCAAAATGGTGCCAAAGTGCTAGAATTATGGTAAATTGTATATTCTTGTTATTCAATAATACTTATATAAAACCTAGTAATTCAATTTATTTAAATTTTGTAAAAAAAAAAAGCTGTGAGGATGGAATTTGGATTACAGAGGTATTAAGCATACTATCATTTAGTGAATGTTGGTAATTTTTTTTTTATAATTAATTCCTAGAACTACATTAGGTTGCTGTTGAATATCCAAATACAGAATTTTATGGAGTTGATTCTAATATACAAAATTCTGACAATAATTTTAATAATGTTACATTTATTGAATGTAATATTTTTAAAAAACTACCATTCCCCGATAATGAATTTGATTATATTTTTTGCTAAAGATAAACTTTATATATGGAAAAAAAATACATTTCTAGAAGTTTTATCAGAGATATTTAGAGTATTAAAGCCTGGAGGTTGGTTAGAGGTGAGAAAAAAGTTTATCTATATAATATTATCTTAAAGATTTTAACGCTATTTATATTAGGTTGTATGTACATTTAATACGGAACTTGTTTATGGACCAACATATACACGATTGAGAAACACATGTATGTCTATCGCGCATTTATTCTAAAAAATATATTGCAATGAGACCCTTTAAATGCAATTATTAATGACATACATTAATACTTTGACATTTAATGAACAAAAGGCAAAACAAAAGGAATTTATAGTTCATTATATACTTATGTTAGAATTTGATGTTGCTTTTAGAAGGATGCTGCATTATGAGAAATTGTATTTAAGAGGTCTCACTGTTTTTTAAAATATTTTCTTAACCCATTCGTAATCATTTAGGGGATTCGTGGCTCAAGTTACAAAATATTGATACTGATTTAGTTGGGAACCTTGAAAATTACCTTAAACAGACCGGAAAAGCCGAATCAGTATTAAGTCGAATAATAGATTCTCAGATTAAACGTGGATGTGCTTTTGGAGAGTTTATGATTGAAGTTTTTTTATTTTTTTATAAAAGTGCGAGAAATTATTTGGCTCCTTTTATGACGATTTCACTTGAAGAATTTGATGACTTGGTGAATAAGGCTAAAAGTGAATTAAGTGAAGATAACAGATTAAAGTAAGACACAAACGTGTAGTTATAAAAAAGAAGAATAGGTACTCTGAAGCAAACAAATTACATGTATCGATTTAATACTAAATAAGTACTGCATCATTTTGACTTTCTAAACAATACCAGTGTTTTATTCGTATAAATCACATTATAATTTAATTAATCCAGGATAGTACTTATTTGCCATTATTTGTGATAAAATACTTTTTTTTTCTATTTTATAATAATATTTCATGGACATAATTTTTGTTGTATAAAAAATTGTAAAAAAATTGGTCACACTTTCTTATTGTACTTGGAGTGTTACTGGCTGAGGTAAAACCAGGAATGACTTCATTAGAGATAAAAGTAGGAAACTATAAATAATTTTTTCAAAAAAAACCAAATAAAATTATATTAATGTCAAAGTTCTAATAATAAAGTTTAATATTTATTCATAAGTAGCTGCGCAACGTTGTCGCGCAAAACCAGGAATGGGGGAAATCTACGCAGACTCCATCTCAGTCACGGGAAACCATATTATTCATTGCAATCCATTCCTGGTATAAGAAAATGACTCTTTATAAAAGAAGTTGATAGTACTCGCAATCTGAATATTGGTTTGAATTTCAGTGACTGAGCCTAAAAACCTATTAATGAAGTCAATGTCTGACTGCTATAT